CCAACCGAGTGATTCTGTGTGATTCTGTGTGGTAACCAGCATGGAAAATTTTTAAAATTAAAACCAATTTAAACCAGTTTTAAAACCAATTTAAGAGGCTTACTTAAATGTAAATACTTGAGTATCTATAGTAGGGAAATTTCATCAAAGGCATCAAAGGCAAAGGGAGAAGAATGATAACACACACACAACTGTATGACCAAATACTCTCATTCCCTATGGGGGGATAAACAAATTCAATAAAACAGATAGTCCACTATAGTTGCAAAATTATACTTAATTTGAAGTGACTCTTCCAGATATTTGTTACTTTTTTAGGCCAAGATTCCCTTGGGTCTTGCTCTTTCTGATATGTATTCCTCTCCCTTGTAATATTTAATGAAATAACTTAAATTATTTACTGTTCCCCCCAGACTCTGGTAGTTCTCCCTAGCTCTACCTTCCTTTTACTCCAGGTCACTCTCTTAATTTTCATTCTTCACTCCAGCCTTCACATGAGCAGGTCTGCCCAGTACATCTGTGATAACTTCTTTGGTACAGAGGATGTCATTCAGTTTTCATTACAACAAAGTATATTCCAGTCCATCCCATTCTCTGCAAAAAGCTTTTCCAAGATTATATCCAATTTAGGTGTTAACAACAGCCATAGAAACATGGAAAGGGAGAAATCTGACCATTGGGTGGCTATTAGTCTGTGCATACATATAACTTACAAATATAGGGCCTTGCTCTTGGTTGATTTTCAGGCACTTGCAATACATGTATTTACCAAAATTAGTAAAAATATGTTCAAACAACTCTTTAAATTTTTCCTGTAATTTGGTGGAAAATTAGTGAACAAATATTTATATCACAGATTTTATTAAATGCATCTGCTTTCTCTGCTATTTTTCACAACTTCACCAGAAACTCAAGTATTTTTCAATCAGATCTTTAATGGATATAATTTTTCAATACAGATCTTTAATGGATATGAACAAAAATTTGCCATAATTATCAGTCTAAAATAAATTTTTTCACAAGAACAATATTTCTCATGGTGCCTTTAAATTTACTCTTAGCAGTATTCTTGGGAAGTCCATAAGATTTCTATGTTAAAATTCTACAGTGAGCTAGAAGAAATAAAGCAAAAATCATTACTACATTGTGCAAAAGGCAAATCTAGATTTCAATTAGCTCAATATATTACTCAGAATTATAGTAGTATTTGGAACTGTAGTAGGCAGAGTTCTGGAAGATTATTCATTTATGTATGAAAATTCAATTATTTGGTTCAAATTACAGCATTCAAAAATTATAAGAGCAGGTGACAGGCAATGTTCAAATGAAGGGTGTGTTTTGGAAATTTGGTTTTATATATCTCTTCCTTAGATCTCGAAGGATTCCGCGTACAATGCCTATTAAAAATGCATTAAAGAAACCAGTCAGAGTCAGGCAATTAATATCTTGAGGATTTGTGCAAAAGTTTCTTAGGTGTTCTATGTGTATTCTGCATGATATGGGAATATAGCTCTATCTCTAACAGTATAACGAAGAAGAAATCAACATATTCTCTTAAGTATTTTAGATTTCACTGTGCGCTTGAAATTGCTAATCGAAATGTTAGTACTGGAATCTGTAATGTCCTCAGCCATTATTTTATTGAGCCCTATGAAGCAGATGAACAGTAGCCTGACCATCTCAGAAAGTTCACCCTGTGGCTAAGAAATTTGAAGGACATTGGAGCAAGTGCAGACCCATCAATCAGTCTCATTCTGTAGAACCAGGGCACAGCAGCTGTTCAGACGATGGCAGCCTTGAGGTTATATATAGAAGTGGCTGTGGAAGTCACCACAACTTAAATGATGATTTCTCTCTCCCCTCAAGAAACCTCCACAGAACAGAGTTATTTGAGTTAGGAGTCACCCCCTTCGGGCAAGTAGCATGTGGGAATAGTATTCCTCTTGTAAGAAAATAATTCTTTTAAATCCCAATTCTGGCAATTTAACTTTAGTCTCTGCATTTGCATCAAACCACTCTACTTGTTTAAAGCAGTTAAGCCTTAAGCTCACAATGTGAAATTATAAACTGAGAGGATGAATACTTGTCCCTCATAAAATAGCAGTCAAAAATGTCTTTTTCCTTTTGATAGACTAGGAATTTTTTTAGTGAATAATGAGAACCAATTTAAGTCAGAATTTTCAGGGGAAAGAATTATGAAAAAAAACTTCAAGTGCTTTAATGAAAAAATTAATTAGGGTTTTTTTCATCTTAAAATCTGAGAACAATTTAAACCAATAAATGTTAGGCAAAATGACATAAAGAATAGCTTAATATAACCTAGATCAGATACTTTTATTTGTCTTCCTCCATTTTCAATTTCAACTTTCTGCTATACATTTTTCAGGTGTTCTGACTTACATGTATGAGAAGTCCCTTACTCTAGAAGTATTCACATTCATAAACTCATCATACTTTACAGAGAAAAGTAAAATAAATAGACATACTTCATATTATACAAATTAAAAAATAAACCTTGGGTTTGACTGAAGTGCAGATACAGTCCTGAGAGCTGCAGGGCTCACACCCAGTGCCCCTGGTTTAGAGCTAATGTTTTCTTCAGTGCAATGGGTCCACATGCTGAGACAGGCAGTAGAGCTGTCACTGCTCCCACATCCTGCTTTTTCCTGACCTTTTGATTTTATACAGGAATTTGGAAGGTGAACTGGTACTACATGGTATTTGGGATACTGTGCAAAGAAATAAGGATATTTCAGGGGATATTATGTCTTCTTACTGTGTAGAAGACATCAAAAGCTCAGTTTTATGTACACTGAGGCACAAGTTTTTCTAAGGGGTTTGGCTTACTTTAGGAAAAAAAAGAAAAAAAAAAAAGAGGCTTGTTTCTACATCTGTAAAGTACAAGTCCCTGGATCTGGTTTCATTATGTCATGGTGCTAATAATGAATAATACCAACAGCTTCTCTTCAGAAATTTTTATGGCTCTTGAGGCTGTCACTGAAAATGATGAATAAAAAGGGAAATTTCTTTCAGTCCTTTTCTGAAATGGGTGGTTAACAAATTAATATTTTTGTTGTTTTAAATAATCAATTGATTAACAAATCCTATACTTTTTTTCCATCTGGTGTTTAATGTTATATGCTTCCATTTGGCCAGAGAGTCTTTTTCATGTCTGCTGAAAACAATAATCTGAAATTACTTCATTCTCTAGGTGTAGTTTTCCAATTACTAACTTTGTCTTGAAAATTTATAATTTTATATGAATATAACCTACTGGGACTTTCCCTATATGATATGCAGCATTTTCTGATTATCAAACAACAAATGCTTGGTGAACATGTTTTTAGCATATTTGGCTACCCTTATTCAAACTGAGTAATTAAATTGAACAAAACAGCAGGATGCTGAAGATATAAAGAACTACTTCTCATGAACAAATTTCACCTATTGAAGTTCCTGTTGTCCTTTATTATGTCTGTTGGCATGATTTACAAAATCACATGGCTACATGTTTCAAGTTTCATAAGATCAAATGCTGATACAACACTGGAATTTCAACAGTACCCACAATGTCTACACCAGTGTGGTTTTAACTAGTTATTCTAACCACTAATAACTACTACATATACTTATTGGCCAAATTGTTTTGCTTAGTCTTGAACACTTAATTTCCCATTCTGACTCAAAGAGTTTTTTAAGTTAGTTTTTGCTGTCTTTTTAACAATAAAGTGATTTTTTTTTACTTCTGCTACTTTCAGAAATGTCATGTAAGCTCTGACAGCCAGCTCCCATTTCCCCTCTTCACCTAACATGTCTTTGTTTCTATTTTATTTCTATCTTCTTTCATTAATGCAGAACTGCAAACAGTGAGGAAAATCATATTATGACCAAAAAAGTACAGTCCTTATATCCTTATGCTCAGTGTCTCAGTTATCTCGGATCTTGATATAATTTAATGAGATGCTAATATTCACTTTTATTTAAAAACATTTTTTTTCATCTTTCAGAGCAGAAGTTTTAAGAAAGTGTGCAGCCATAAATACATTGTCTCTGACAAAGACTATATACTACTCCAAAATGACTTCCAGAAGTCTGAAGAATTCCCCTCGTCTTTTCTATAAAAGCATCCTAAATTAAGACAAGGCTGTCTGTAGGAATTAAGGTGACTCCATTTATACCTAAGCTAATTTATCATAAGGACTTACATTTGAACACCGTATTTGAACAGGGGAGGAATATGTGTCCTCCTCATACATCTGTATGGCAAGTTACTGCTCACACAATTTTGAGTAGAGAACTGAGGCACAGAAAGTCTAAGTGGTGAGTCTAAAATATGTAAGAATTGGAGAGCAAAAGAAAAATTAATTGAGGTTTCCTTACAGTGGGATAGATTCTGACTGCCTATGAGAGGGTAGTGGGAATACCCCTGCCAGGAGTTGGGCAAAAAAAGGTAATTCCATAAAACTCTTTTTATGCTTCTCTCATTTTGATTTCAAGACAAAGCTACCGTAGAGGTAGAGTTATATGGAATTATATGATCTGTACACAGAGGTTGGATTTCCTTAGCTTGGGGTTTTTTCAAATGCTTTGAAATGCATCTTTATTCTTATCCATTGTGTACCCACTAATACAAATAGGTATCATGCTGGCATTCAGCTAAGTAATTCTTTTGTCATCCACAGATGGACAGGGGATTACATGGCTAAGAAATGAAATAAAAGCTAAATCTCTATGCTTCATAAAGCTTTGCTTGTTTTCTCTTTCATTCAGGATTACCGAGTGAACATCTTTCTCCGTCAGAATTGGAATGATCCACGCCTTGCATACAGTGAATATCCAGATGATTCTTTAGATTTAGATCCATCTATGCTAGATTCAATTTGGAAACCTGATTTGTTCTTTGCTAATGAAAAAGGTGCCAACTTTCATGAAGTTACAACAGATAATAAGTTGTTGCGAATTTTCAAAAATGGAAATGTACTTTATTCCATCAGGTGAGCCTCTAATCAAATTATTTTTTTCAGATGAAATCTCAAAAGCGTACCTAAGAATGGCCCATAGATATCTTCAGTTGCTAGTCATGCAGAACTATCACTGAAATAGTTGTGAGTTTTGAATACAAAACTTTATCATCATTACTGTTCACTGATACTACTACAATAGAAAATGATTCCTCATTAGGCATGCACATAGTAAAAATTATAAGTATCTTTCCCATTTTCAAGTACAGATGCTAAGCCTACAGGAGCTATGACACTTGCACAGAGCAAATAGACCTGGAGTATTATAATCTGAGCTGGCCTATGTATATGTTTCACATGCTGTAGCCTCCAATGTCAGAACAATCCAATGTTATTTTTTTTTCACCTTTTTGGATATTGCAATTGCACTTCAACATAGAAACATAATCTGTTTGAGGAAGCATAAAATATAAAGAATAGTTCATTTACTACTGGAGATGGAGAGAAAAGTGGAAAGAAAAATTTTGAGAAGGTTTTCACGTACAAGCATTGACAAAATCTACTTATTCTACTTCTTTTCTCCCCAATTTCATTTCATTAATACATACATTAGTAGGCATTTTACCGTCATCTTCAAAAACCTAATCCAATGAGACACACATTGGAAATAAGGATACAAATGTCTCATTATACATTATATAGATTTGATTTACAGTGCATATACAGTGACTTGTGCAAAATGTTATACTTTTCAAAATAAATATACCTATTGTGCACTTAGTGTTTTGTTTTGCATGCTTTTATGATACTGCCTTAATGGATAATTAAACTTTTTGAAGACATATCAGTAAAACAGTTTGTATACAAAGAGAAAAAGAAAATGTCTGTGGCCTGTATGGATGCATCAGTGGCAAGGGAGTCTCCTTCCTCCCTCCTTCCAGTGCAAGTAGGCAGTATCATGTCAAGCTCTGAGTATTTCATATCCAAAAGGAGGTTAGTTTGCCAGTCTGGAAACATAGTCATTTTTCAGTGTCACAATATGTATTTTGTCACTAGAAACAGATGGAAATCAAGTAAAGAATTCCATCTCTAGACCAAAGTAGAAAGTAGAGCTAAATCAATTGTCTCCAGACTGAGTCACCCTGAGGTGCACTGGTAGTTGTTCTACTCTAATCAGGTAACTCCTCCTTACTCTACTCCCTTCAAATACATACAAAACAGAGAATAGACACCACTATGTAATGGAATCAAGTTTGGATTGCAACATCAAGCTCATGTTCACGTGAAATGGGCAAAAAAAAAAATCAAACATGAGAAATATTATAATATTAAATTATAAAAGCAAATATTGACTGTGATGAAAGCAAGTGCCAGAGAGCTCCTGTGTTTCTTACGCAGCTAGGAAGTTAATGTTGCCATGATTGAATTACAAACTATTACAAGTTCTGAAACATTTAAAATCGTATAACTGGCATCTATTCGAGCTGTTACGTGAACTTGAGTCAGTGCCTCTTTGAATTTACTTGCCATGTTATTAGCCTACTACTCAGATTTTGCATTTAGAACCATTTTTAATAACATGGGAATAGGGCCAGGGTCTGAGTTCCTTCCTTGGAACAAAACTGGTGAGGGGTCTGGAGGAAAAGTCTTATAAGATGTGGCTGAGGGAACTAGGATTGTTTAGTCCGGAGAAGAAGAAGATGAGGGGAGACCTTTTAGTGTTCTACAACTACCTGAAAGGAGGTTGGGACAAGAGGAAATGGCCTCAAGTTGCACCAGGGAAGGTTTAAACTGAACATTAGAAAAAACTTCTTTACTGAAAGAGCAGTTAAGCAATGGAACAGGCTGCCCAAGGAAATGGTGGGGTCCCCATCCCTGGAAGTGTTCAAAAAAAGTGTGGATATGGCAATCTGGGGCATGGTTTAGTGGGCATGGTGGTGTTGGGTTGACAGTGGGACTTAATGGTCTTAGAGGCTTTTTCCAGCCTTAATGATTCTACGATTCCCTGACTGTATTGTCCCCTTGCAGCTCTGTCATTGGCAGGCTAAGTAGAAGTTATAACAATGAAGAATAGAGATCTGGAAAGGGAAAAAGAAGGGTAAAAGAAATATACAGCCATGCCCTCTGCCCACTGCCCACTTCCGTTTAGCCCCAATGCCGAAAACAGGGTTTAAGAGAGAGGGATTAGAGCACTGCCATTCTAGAAAAGCTTTATGTGTAAGGAATTGAACTCAAGCCCCTCAGGTTTTTGGAGGACATTCTATCAGCTGAACTGATAAATTAATATGTAGAATTTTGACACAAGATATTTTCTAGCAAGAAGAAAAGTGCAGTCATGACCCTAAATAATGAATGGATACCTAAACATGGCCAGAGAGGGAAAATATATGCCTTTACCTCTAATATTCTTCTTTCTCATTCCTCTGAGAAGTATCACTCTAAAGATAAGTTATTGTATTGATATAAAATGTAAAAATACCTCTTGCCTATGGGTTGCAAAGTATTTCACAGGAAGTATCAAGACTAATGGGAAACACAGGTGCAGTTCAAAATTACACACGTATTTCAGTCTGCCATCAGTATCACAAAATGTTATCTTAAACCTTTGTGTTGACATTTAACGCACCTTAATAACACATAAATTACTTTGCCACCAAGATTTGCAGCTGACATCTGTTATGAAATTCTTGCAAATCTGGATAAATTTTATGTCAAGGATTTGAAATACTGTAACAGTATAGCAATTCTACTGTAGCACGAAAAAAAAATCATGCTATTGCATTCCTTTAGATTTCCCATAAATTAGGCAACCCTACTAAAAAATGTGTTTTTCTGAAAGTCTGTAAAAATAGTTTTCCGCATTGTCATACTAGACTGTGCAAGTTAAGTGGGTTCAGCTAATATATGTCCCTTTTGAGGGCTTTCTAAAGAAAAAATGTATTTTCTTCTATTTCTAAGGACTTCCAGTGTTTTATACATTCTTCCTGTGCAGTTCTGTGTCTTTTTTGTGGTATATTTTTAATCTTTTTTGTGTGTTCTTTCAGATTGACTTTAATACTGTCCTGTCCGATGGATCTCAAAAATTTTCCAATGGATGTGCAAACATGTATAATGCAGCTGGAAAGCTGTAAGTTTGAGTAATATCCTATAAATACTTTTGTAGGGATTACAACAGCTATGCAGGAGGTAGAAAGACCCCTTGCAGTGGTACAAGAACAAATTTTCGAAAAAGAATCCCCTATTTTACCAAAAGAATTGGTGAAATAGACATGATTTTCAAAGGAAGAGATTCTTTCCTCCTTACTTTTACTGAAAATCAACAGTTTTATGTAAATCTAAAGTAAATACTAAATTCAAGGACTCAGTGCTAGTTTACCTTTATGCAAAATTTATGCATATAGGAATTCACCATTAAGTCTTCCCTGTGTTCACGCATACAGGGAGCCAGTAATATTGGAGACCATAAAGGAAACATGAGATTAACTTAAGAGAGTGATTTAAGTGACTATTCTGAAATCAGTAATTATTTGGTGTCCTTAAAAGCTGCAAACAAGATGGCGTATACTGAGTCCATGCTCTTCAGATTCCTGATCTAGCTCTTCAACATGCCTACATGTTGTATTTTTATATATATATATATAAAATGTAATTTTTACCTAATAATCCTTGAATAGATTAGAGAAACGGTTCACTGCATAGGAGAACTGTAGAAGACTGCACAGCACGTATACTTATATATGTATATGCCCATGTGACTACATAGGGTGTGTCATTTACACAGCTTTTGCGTCCTCAACTGGGGTAGTGCCTTGAATCAGTGGAACACCCCCCAGAAAATCTTGGGAGGAGCTGTAGGACCCTTGTGTTATGAGGAGGAAGAAGTCCATACAAGTTGTAGTACCACAGATAGCTTGACATTGAAAACACTCAGCAAAACACAGAAAGAAAAAAGAGACCTGATAGCTTTCTAGCACAGAGAAGGTCTGACAGTTGGACCAAAGCTGACATTACACTAGAATTTCAATGGAAAAAGCAAAATTAGAACTTCATGTGTTTTAAATTATCTCTTAATAAAGTCCATTTGCATTATACACAAATGTCCTAAGGAAAGCAGAGGAGAAGGTAAAACCAGCTTAGACAAAGATAGGCTTTGCAGAATTATCTTTCAGTTAACAGCAATACTTTTTATGTGAAATAAAATTAGCATTTGTTAACTCAACACTATAGTTGTGTCGCTTGATATCTCACTTCCAATATAATAGAGGACAGAAAGCATACAGCAACACACACACACACAGACAGACAAAAAGACAAAACCAAAGGTTCTATCTGATGCTATGATCTGAGCTAACACAAGATGTTTAAGGAGGAGGGCACAGATATGTATTACATTCTCATTTTCGCTGTGATACGAAGTATTTGAGAATTGCCTTTTCCACTTAAAATGAGAGGACTTTGGAAGAGATTCCTAACAGAAAAATCCTCTTAATGAAGTGAAGAGCAAATATAAAACAAAGTAAAACATTCTTTGGAAGATTCCAGCAATCTGAAGTTTATGAAAATTAATGACAAGGGAAAACCAGATAAATCATAAGTACCAATCTTAATGTTAGATCTAGATTTGCAGTTTTGGGATCAATAAGTAAAAGAGCTCAGAAAATAATTTTCTGCATATAGAATGAAAATACTGGATGATTTGAAATATAGATCAGAAAACATACAGAATTTGATTAAAGTATTTATTGGTTTTATTCTTCATTTACTGGAATAAAGTAGCATCTAAGAGAAGGGGGAGGTAATTATCTATCAGTCAGTATGTCAGAATTGTTTGTTGTATGGGTAATGGCATGCTTTTACAAAAAACTGCGGGGTGAGTATGGGAGCCAGATCTATCTTTCATTACCATGGACAGATGGCAATATTTATAAAGCTGACTTCCAATATGAGGGCAATGGCTGAATGTGACAGCAGCAATTTCCTTGACTAAAATTGAGAGATAGTTACTTGCTGCAAATGTCAAGGAATTTAGAGCAATATTATATATTCAGCATTCAAGCAGAACTCCACAGTCAACCCAAGAGAGTACTACTGCTAATAACTTATGTTACCTTTATAATTAATGTGACTAGATAAAAGGTTAATATAAGGCCGTTGTGTCAGAGTACATACAGATGACATATATATTCACAATATACAGTTATGCTTCCAACAGAAAGTATCATAGTATTTGACTGAAAAAGGAAAAGGTATAATTAAAAAACCTAAATGTGTTTGAAGTCACGAAATTTTTGTTTTAACAACTTCATAAAGCTCAGCTGTATTTTTCCTCTCTTTCAGCCCTTGTGAGAACAGATCATACAGTAACTGAGCATTGTTGAACAAATAGGCATCTGGTTTGCTCTATAGAAACCTTGCAGGAGCTCTCAATTCCCTCAAACTGCACCATAGAGAAGCAATGCTTATTAGTTGAGTAGCACTGTAGATGTTCTAACTGTATTTTCCAGCAGAACATTTTGCACTAAAGTCTTGGTTTTAATCATTCATTTCAGTGGGAGTAAATTCCCTGCTACACATTCACATAGTAGAGAGAAGCAATGTTCACAAAAAGCTGAACAAAATACAGATGAGTGCTTCAAAATCTTCTCATTACAGAGAAAGATCAAATTTTATTTCATAAGGAAGTCACAAGTAATAAAGCTTTCCCCACATCACCTTGTCTAATTCTAATTTACCTGTAACTCCAGACATTGAAAAATAGAAACTATGGACAAAGTAGCTGGCCCAAGGCAGAAAATTTTGCAGTATGTGGGAGCTCTGGCTATACCTACACATCTGATAGCAGAATAACCAGTTAGGTTTGCAAGAACAAGACAGCAGTTACCTGAAACCAAGAGACAGATTCTCTTGGGACAGAATCTCTGGGACAGATTCAAAGAAGACAGGCACAGTGATGCAATTTCCAAGTTTCTAGACCTTCAAGAGTAGGAAGTTACCTGCCCAAACCTAGTTTCTCAATAAAGGAAGTACAAGGAAGGGAAACAGACACTTTGGAGGAGTTACAAAAAATACCTACATGCTGGACAGAAGAGTAACTAGGTAAAAAAAACAACCAACATTTTATGTGAGTCTCAACTCTGAATAGTTTCCAAAACTTAAAAAAGTGAGCAGAAACATTCAAATTCCAGAGTCTTTGCCTAAAAACAGGCATCCAGTTCTATTTACAATTATAGAGGAGAAAAAGGAGGATGGGTGCATTTAGCTTTCTTTCCAGGCTTCACATCAAAGCTCCTCAGGTAAGAACTGATAACCCTGAGAACCTAAATCCATCCAAGCATCTCTGACTTAAAGGCCAAAGTGTCATACTCTCCTGTGGCTGTATGGCTTACATTTTTTTGTGTACAGTAAGACAAATTAAACGGGGGGATCAAAGCACTGACCGTGGTGGTTAATGTGCTGTCTGAGGAAGTGGAAGGCATGGGGTTTCAAAACTGAGAACATAGTCCTCATGACCTAAGTAGATGATCTGATCATCAGGCTGTTATAAAAACCAAAGGAGTTGCAGGAGCAAAACAGCAGCAGCTATGCTTCCAGATGTTTCCTTTCAAAATTATCATCAGGCTGTTTTTTCTGCTGAGTGCCAAGTTGGGTAGGACATGATACGATTATGAGTTTACAAGGCCCATTTATCTCACAGTTTCTGTAAATTGTACCTGATCTCACAAGCCTTGCACCTTCATGTGTCACTAAGCAAATTAGTCTGTTTCTAATAAATCACTCATCTTACCACCAGGTTGAAAAGAAAGGCTGACATACTTATAAAGGACAGATTGTAGGTTTTACCTGTGCTATAAAATAATAATTTTCTTTAGTACTAGATACTTTCCTTCAATATTTATACTGCTGCGCCAGCATAGAAAGCTCTATGAGGAAAATTCATACATAGCTTCCCAAATAATATTTTTATTTCTAGTCATCTCACAGTGTTTTTTCCAAGGTCAGTCTAAGCAGCTGGATTTGCCCCTGGTTAAAGCACTTAACAAATATTTTTCAGACACTTCATGATATAAGTGGAAATGTCTTCTATTTTTAAAGGATTTATTTTACCAAATTATTTCTCAGCAACTAGAATGAGCTGCTGTTTTATCTTAGAGAGGAAGCAAATGAAAATGCACATATGAAATAATCCCGTCTACATTTCTGTGCCTTACACCAGGGTAGCCTATAGGCATGTGAGATAATTTTATTCTGCTTGAATAAGATACAAAGAAATGTCAGCTAGATACATATTTATTTCTGTGGCCTGTCTCCCAGGAAAGAAGTGTTTTTCTTTAATGTGATAGAGATTGTTGTCTCTCTTTTTTTAGGTCTCACTTTTATCTCATAGCATTCCCTTACATATTAAAATTATAATTTTATGTGACATTAAATATTCCTGAATTCTCAAAGAATACTGAAAAGACTTAACTCAGTTACAAAAGAAGACATATACTATGAAAAGCAGCATCTGTAAGAAAGCAAGCATCTGCTCACCTCATAATTTTATTTTGATGCTTATTGTCTCTCAAGAAATTAAACAATGGCCTCTTTTCCCCCTTTTGATTTATGGAGGCTTTTTAGCCTAAGCAATCATCCACCTGTCTTTCGGATTTTTAGAGAAAATTCACTCCATACTACATGATGGTGTTGCCCAAATAATACTATTTCTTTCCTCACAGTCTCTACATTGGAGTTGTGCAAATGGAAAGATCCATTAGGAGGCTACAGCAGTACAGGCCGCTGCACTACAGAATCACAGAATCTTAGGAGTTGGAAGGGACTTCAATAGATCATCCAGTCCAACCCCCCTGCCAGAGCAGGATCACCTAGACTAGATCGCACAGGAACACGTCCAGGCGGGTTTTGAATGTCTCCAGAGAAGGAGACTCCACAACCTCTCTGGGCAGCCTGGTCCAGTGCTCTGTCACCCTCACAGTGAAAAGGTTTTTTCTTATGTTCACATGGAACCTCCTATGCTCCAGTTTGTACCCATTACCCCTTGTCCCCCCTTGTTGGACATCAGAGAGAAGAGCCTGGCTCCTTCCTTCTGACACTCACCCTTTACATATTTATAAACATGAATGAAGTCGC